TGGGGAGAAACTGATAAGATCAAAAGCTAGTGAAATATGAGCTTAGCTTTTGTTGATGCTCATAAAGTTTGATGCTTAGCTTTTTTAGTTAATGGTTTATTTACTAGCCGACTAGTTAAAGACATATTTTTCTAGAAACAAATAGCACGCAGCAACATATCCTGTTCATTGACCAGATGCAAAATCTTGAAAATTATTGGCGTGGAAACTAAAGAACGAGGGAAGGAGAATTCTTGATTAGTTTCTATATATGCTTTGAGCCTAATTAATTTATAAGAAAGATTACACATTGAATACCATATGATGTATTCTATTTAGGCACACACTACACCACACAATACATTACATTCAAACCAATGACAACTACATCATTTAATGAAGTATATGTAAACATAGATCCATGGATCCATACATCTCGATCGGAAAAGAATCAATAGAAAAAGAAAGATGAAACATAAATCATGGATCAACTAAACTCTTTCGAGAGCTTGCTTAAGAATAAGAAAGAGAAATCTTATGGAAATATCATGGAATTTGATCCTATTCATGGGGATTCCGTAACTATCCCATTCATAACAAAGAAAGTACGTAACAATTGGGACTTTTTCGGAGATTGGATGCAATTACTAATTCATGATCTGGCATGTATAGAATGAAAACTTCAATCTCAATTCTACGAGAATTCTTATGAAAGCGTGTGGTGGCAACATGTTATTGAAGGTGGTCCTGCTTATGGGGTCAAAATCAATACGTTCTAAGAAGAAATATTTGAATATCAATCTCATCGATCTCATAAGTATCATACAAAATCCCATCAATTTAATCACTTTTTCGAGAAATACGAGACATCTAAGTTGTACAAGTAAAGAGATCTATTTGTTGATTAGAAAAAGAAAAAAAATGTAAACGGTGATTGGATTGATGATAAAATCGAATCTTGGGTCGCGAACAGTGATTCAATTGATGATGAAGAAAGAGAGTTCTTGGTTCAATTCTCCACCTTAATGACATAAAAAAGGATTGATCAAATTCTAGTGAGTCCGACTCATAGTGATCCTTTATCAAAGAATGACTCTGGTTATCAAATGACTGAACAACAGGAATCAATTTACTTACGATACTCATTTGACATTCAGAAAAAGTATCTAATGAATTATGAGTTCAATAGATTTTGTTTAGTAGAAAGAAGGATATAAAGGAAATTCATGCTAATTACATGCAAATTACACAACGGAAGACTATATGTATAGTTATACTAAGCATGTAGAGAGCATGAAATACAAAATAGGACCATCCTAATTAAATCTAACATGATCCCTATATTAAAGAGAGCACACAAGAGTTAGAAAGCCATACTTTCGAAGCGTGATTTGATGGAAGATCGAATAACTTCTAGCTCTTGCTCCTTGTAGTAATAAATCTCTTCGTAGTGGATCTCCAAGTCTTCAAGTGAGCTTGATAAAATCGGAGTCTTCTTGAGACATAAGGCAAGATATTCACCCCAGGGTACTTCAAAATCCTACTACTTCCTCTTGCTCAAAGATTGCTAGAGTTTAGTAAGAGGAGCGCTTTCTTTTATTCTCTTATAAAAAAAACCACTTAGCCAATTTTTCATTAACCTTTCCATAAGAAAAAGAGCTCATATATATAGAGTAAAATATGTCATGACTCATCTCATGAGTCATGCCATGAGTCATCAAAACAATGATTCTCTCATGAGTCATGCAATGACTCATCTCATGAGTCATGCAATGAATCATGAAGAATCAAAACTATGTGCTAAAACCATGTTCCCAAACCATACCACCTTAATGACTCATCTCATGACTCATTAATTAAGGTATAATAAAGTGCGTATTTCATAAATGAAAATATCACATCAATAAGGTATTTCATAAATACGATATTTTGTAACTTTCCAATCACTGACCAATAAGTCATCATATGACCAAAAAAATCAACGAGTTGACCAAAAGTCAACTGTTGACTAAAAAAGTTAACTAGTTGACTAAAAGTTAACTTTATGGGAAAAATACTATAATTCATTTTCTAAGCACATAGCATTCTGATTTTACCGATATGCATAACCGTTTATTTGTATTCGGTAAAATCATATGTGTATCAATCATACGCATCACTCTATAAATTGTGTTTCATAGGATTTAAGTACGCGCTTGGTGTGACTCTAGGGCCCAACTTAAGAACTCGGTAGTGAATGATATCCACAAGTACAACAGAGGTTCTAGCTACACATAAAAGCTACCCGGGTATAAGTTGTGATAAATATCTACAAGATGCTAACACAATTTTATCAGGATCACTCAGTGATAATATTATACAGTCCGGTCTCTTCGTCAAACCATGTCAAACTAAAGCCTAGGGTATGGAAAAGTGTCAAACCCTAATAGCTCGATTAGTGTTTGTTGATATTAAACTCATAACCTATAAGATCAAACTGACACTCAGTTTATCTTACTTATCTTGGCCAAGGATTTCCTGGCTATAGTTATATCAAACAATCTTATGACATCAACCCCCTATACTGAGAGAGACGAATCCCATCTTGGCATCTTAATATCTACTTATGTCTCGGGATGCACCCAACAAGAACCGTTATGCACAACTTATTGAGAACTGCGGTTAGGTAAAAGTCTAAGTACACATATACTGACATGTAAGATATTACACTCATGCCTCAGGTCAAGAGATGACTATGTACTATATCACTTGAGAACTTCTATTTGACAGTTAAGTATAATTATCAACTAGATGTTTTAAGTGAGTCGTTCAGTTAACTCATTCATTAATGAGTCACCTGTACACTATATCATGATGTCTCATATCAATGATCCAAGAGATGGATCATTATCCTACCAAAGGAGAAATAGAGTATACACTTAGTCTTCCCAAAGTGATGATGTCCCATTTCAACACTTCATCGACTAGGAACATTTAAGAATATACGTTAACGACAAATCAGATCTCTTCATTACGATCATATCCAAAATGTCTAATAGTCTAGTATCATTCTAAAGACTTTATCTGTATTTAAAAAATACCAGATAAATATTGACCAAAATAGCATACTATCATTATGAACAAGGATGTTATATTCATATAGGTCCTGTTACAATATACAATTAGTGCTTGCAGGGCACCTATATCTAACAGGATATTCCTTGCACATTATCAGACAATCAACTTATTCATAAACCTCTGTGGGGCTAATAGTTCAATGCTCTCGATGGTAAAGATGTTATTGACTGTGAACCCATATTGGGTTATTTACACAGAGAGATGGAAAAAATAACGGAAAATTAAACAATTATACAATATTTGCCTTATGTAACACGGTGAGATTATTTAGCCACTATGTTCACGGAAGCAATAACACTAAATGCACCAGAACGACTGAAAAGTGTTCAAGTACCTAAAATAGCCAGTTACATTAGAGTAATTACGTTGGACCTGAGTTGTATAGCTTCTCATTTGTTATGGCTTGGAGTCTTGGACCTTTTATGGCGGATATTGGCGCACATACTCTCTTTTTCTATATTTTTAGAGAAAAGAAATTGTTATATGATCTATTAGAAGCATGATTACTCGATCATGCGGTATAATGTAGCTAGATAGCAGACAACTAATCGACCCAATAATATCAAATGGAATAAAGGAAAATTAGAGACTAGACTTGCAAACTAACACAAATGTCAGATTTTGTGGTGGTGTGAGCAATGCCTTACTCCTAAAAAATGTATTAATTTAATCATCATAATATTTCAATTGTATGATCGGTACTGTTGGAACTAATTTAAAGATTTGAGTTCTTATGCAAATATGACTTTTGAAGGGTTCTTTTGCAAAATTCCCTTTCCTTATCTAATTCACATACGCGTTATTATCCTCTGTCATCTTCCTCATTCACCGCTTATTCCATTTCTCCGATCATTAAAAGAAAATCCCGATGATTCCTCCATCCTTCCTTCTTTTCCTCCAAGTGAAAATATCATCCTCATTGCGGCAATGTCGGCGGCCTCTCCGAACGTGAATTCCTCCTCCTTGATGACAGCGATTATTCCAACGGGAAAATCAAGATTGCTATAAAAGGGGATCTCAATGAAGGATGAAACGTACGAAAGAAAAAAAACAGTGAGCATTTCCTAATCTCCCTCTTATTCTCTACAATATTTGATTTCTGATTTTAATTTTCGGGCAAAAACATCCATTGAGCAGAGATCAAAGTTTCGCAGTAAACTTTGGTGCCGGCTTTCTCGGGGGGGTCTTACCGCTAGGCGTGGTCGCATCAAATCGTCTCTGCGAAGGCGGCGACTATTGTTCTAGGGCAGTGATCACACGATTACCCCTTTCTCAGGCCTGCGTTTCTAACTTTCTGGAATTTCTATTTTGATTATTTTGCAGTGGTTTATTTCTAACAATCTAGAACAATAGTCAGAATTATAAATGTTTGCGTCAAAAGTTGGTCTCGTTGTGGAATTCATTATATCTTCAGTCGATTACAACAAATTCGAAAGAAATAGCCTTTTTATAAGACTTCTTTTACACAACAAAATAAAAATTACAACTTTTTAGAAACAAACGCAGGATCGTTGTTTGGATCGCTGCTTGCGTGGGATCTTTGCCTGTGCCAGGAGCGCTTTGACTCGTGGACCACCAAATCACAGATTCTGATTGAACCGTGAGGGGTTTAATGATTCTTCCTTCGTTTATCGAAGTGAGAATTTGAAACGAAGATCTTATCAAAGTAAGACGATCGTTCTTCTTAAGATCAAGTCAAAGCTCGAATCTCAAGGAATTGCCGGAAGCTCAGGAACTCTGCTCTCTCTGCTCCAAAATGCTCAGCCCT